GTGAACTGTTCGAGAAATCCTGCCGGGGCAGTCGATCCTCTGGATCATTTAGTGGATTCCATATGAGACAGTGGGACGGGTGGGTAACCGAGTCCAAATGTGAAATAACCGAGCTCCTGGCGTGGCTTCGTAGCTCAGCTGGTAGAGCGCTTGTCGCGTAAAGGCATAGTGTTCCTGTCGCTGGTTCAAATGCAGCCGAAGCCCTGACTTTTCACAGTTGGGTCTCATCTAAAATTTGGGTTTTGTCAAACAACAGCAAACTGTGAACAAACAAGGGGAATACATTTACATGTCTATTTTGTACAAGATGCGATATTTTGTAAATTATAGACGCAGTTGTTAGATAACGGTATGAAGACACATGCAGTGTTGTTGTTGCCACTATGTGCTTTGGAACACTTAAAACTTACGTTGAGTGAATATGACTTGCAAAAGTTGAATATTGCCACCCCTGGAAAACTGAGCACATCCATTTTGTGGTCAACACAAGTGAACAATGTAAGCAGTTGGTTCCAGTAGCCGCTAGCAGAGTGGTGGTTTACTGTTTAGAATCAACTGAATCCTGTTAGCATCAAGCACGCTACGCAAAATAACCCGTTGTCTGTGAACAAGTTTTAGAGTGCTGGTGCTGCTATTTATCCACTAGGTCACTGGGTCACGATCTCGAACGCTTAGGGGTCGGTGACTGATATCTTCAAATCTTCAGGTCAGCCGCAAGTGGGTGACCAATTTTAGGCAACGAGACAATGAGCTGAATAAACTGAATTTGCAACTGGACACCGGGTTCAATTGCTAAGCTCACTAGATGAGTTGATGAGTCATATTTAGCCCAGTCGTTGAAATATGCTTGTCCATCGGTGATATAAATGGATCAAATAGTTAAAGTGTTGAACCAACTTACAAAAGTTCGAAGTAACACCTTTCTGCAAAATCTTGCGATAAGGAAACTGTTCAAACGATTTGTTTGACAGTGACAAAACATGTGGTGCCAGTATAAGACATTTCAAAAAAGGTAGGGAACAATGAAAGATAACCTCGAACTAACCACACTCATCAACAGGTTGGAAAGGAAGTCCACAAAATCAATAAGAAAAGGTGCCATGAACGTAGTAAGCATATGAACCACTGGATCACAAGTGGACTTATGCAGTAAACCTACTTCACCAATGTACTATTATGTGCTCGTGTTTACGATAAACGATTGTTATACAAAAAGGAACAAAGTTTACTAAAGAATTGTAGATTAGGAGAAATAAAATCACATTTTAAAAGTGATCAGTATATCAATGATTCCAATAAGGTATTACACGTCGACTGTATTTAGAAGTTTGGAAGCGAGAACCAAAATATTAAATTGAAGGAGATCAAAAAATGTGGCGCGGTGTGTTCAAACTAATGTGACAGACAACCATGTAAATCGATTAACAAATATGAAACTGGAGATGCGGTTGACTAAAGTTAAGCCCTACGCATGACTAATGTATTTTCGCATTCAAATAGGTCTTTTAGGCGACTCATTTGAAAAAGAATCATTTGATTTTCCCTCGTTGACGCTCGTCTACATGCACATGCTATGACCGGGATTTAAACTCCAGTTGCATTCTTATGGAGCAGTCGAGATGAAACTTGTACCAGTGACTAAACTAAGCATTTGGCAATAAGTGCGTCTAAACCTTCAGGTATTTCCAGCAATAAGTATTGCTAAGAGTGACCGATCATTTTGAGGGGAGGCACAGTAATTATTCTGTCGATTTTCATTGGGCAATATATTTCACCTGACTTAAAGTAATGAAAACTTATCAGGTTCTCTGGGCCACGACTTCATTACTATCAAGTGGTTAGAACTCTGGGTGATGACAAAAGAACTTCACTCATTCGTTTATAGCACCGACTTTCAAGCAGAATTTCCAACCAGCCTGTTTACAAAATAATGACCAAGCTTTACTAATGAGCTTCAACAACAGAAAAACACGTGGTTGCTGCCCCTTTTTCAGAAGTGACTATCTGACTGAATAAAAACACGTGGTTGATTGTTGGCATCAGCGAAAATCCCAAACTATTTAGGAGTAACGAATTGGAAGGTGTTAAACTGAAGTCCGTTCAGGTTGGGTTACACAATCTACTAAAACAACTTTACCTCGTCCAGCCGATAAAAACTGTGGAACTTCGACCAGCTAGTGACAGGCGCACTCAAGTAGTTGCGTGTGTTAAGTGGGCAAAGTGCTCCCAATTTGGGGCGGACTAACACATGACAGTTGTAGGATGCAACGGTAAGAAAGGTTTCTTGTGTTTGCGATTCTTATTAATGCGGTGAAATCAAAAGTCCACTTTTTGCTATGGGATGATATGAGACACGGAAGCATTTGATAGTGATTTCTACATATAGCATGATGGCAGTCTGTGATAATAAACCAAACATTTCTGTAATGTGGAAACTGTGTACATTGCGGAAACCCGAGTGCAGTTCTAACCGCGGAACTGCACTTCAGCAATGCGCTTCCACTCCTCTTCTTTCAGACCTCATTCACTAGTCTTCTGAGCACTTATTCGTCAGTCTCAACTCAAGCTGTAGAATTAATTTAAATGTTTCAAAAAACAACTCATTCCACCAGTTTGTTTTTTAATGAATACCACATTTTTAGTTGATCTCTAATGGATTATTTTCCTCTTGTTGTAGGCTCCAATGGCGCACAAACTCTCATACAAGGTATATATTGACATTTCTGGTCACCCGTGTATTACTGGTCCTTTTTAGTTTGAGCCTGTAAACGTCTTTTCTCATTCTTCAGTCGGGACGACATTAATCATGACATCAATGGATTGTAAATAGCTTTTTTTGTGATTGGTTGCCAGATTAGAAAAAATTCTGATGGGAGTGTGAAATGTGTTGTTCGACAACAAAAGTTGACAAAACGGACTTTATTTCGTGCAATTATGTGAAAAGTTTTATAAGTCAGTGTGACACTTATAAATTGTGTATAGAGACTAATACAAAGTCAGTAATCTAGTTACTGTTCATCCGAATTCAATATATCTCGTTCAGTCTATACACTCACAAAGTCTATGGTAAACTTCAGTCGACTGAGCATCTGCGAAAGATCGATATGGACAGATGGATGAGTCAATGCCAAAAATCTTTGAATAGGACTGATAAATCAGTTTTTCAAGTGTCAGAGAATCATCACAACAGCAAACGCAGGTGGTGTAATAAGATACCAAACTAGACGCAAACACTCAGTTTATATTCACCCACTAAAGAAAGGAAACGGTTCAGAATGAGTGGACTCATATGTGGTTTGCTATAATCGTTGCAATGCAACGAAAAGACGTGGAAAATATCGAGACATAATGTGTTGCGGGCGTTGTATTCTTCAAGTGGGAATGTGATTGTGAGCAGGTAGTAATATTCCAGGGATTTGGGGAAAATGTGTAAACTTCAGATAAGAAAGTACGGTTCATCAGTCGGAGAAACTCGCAGTGATGGGCGTATTTCATTGGCGAAACGATAGGGACGTTGGATTTGAACGTTCGTTATAGTTGTCGTTATTTGTGCAATATAGTGGAGGTTCATAAGCCGAATGAAACTAATTTTGTCTGCGAAAAATGGTGATTCTGAAGGTTGGGACCCTGAACTGGAGAGACATAAGAGGGCGGAGTTTTAAAGCATGGAAGCAACTCTTGGAATTGGTCAAACTTTGAATCTGGGTGGTCACAATCGGGTTCAGTCATCCGAACAGCTCGCGACTGAACGATAACAGCGGAATTAAATAAAGCGAACATACCCTAAAAATCGACACGCAGATAGAAGATGAATGCGTATGTCAGCAGGATAGCTATTTCAAAAATTTTCTACTGATATAATCAACATAAAATTGGAAACTTTAATGAAAAGTTGCGGTGTAACATTTTTTTTACAAGAGTAAATATTTAGGTATTGGGTCACTCGTTGTAATATAACCGGATATTATAGTGGCGACTAAGCTTCTTTCAAGAGCCCTTATCGTTGGACGCTTCTGGCAAAGACAAACTGCAAAATACAGAACTGCTTGTGCTACACACCAACATGTACTCTCAACCATAATTAGTTTGAACGCTTATCTTGTGTTGCTCCAATGAGTGCATTTTTGAAAACAGTTGATAAGTGTAACATGGCAAATGAGAAAGAATCTTGGTAGTACATTTATCCAAGGCATTGATGCAGACGGAAACAACACAAATGATCGATTGGATACTGTAATACGCACTTCAAATGTTTGATTGAGCTGGGCATAGGTAATAATAACATAGCTGGATGAGATTGATGCCGAAGTGATAAATCACGAAATAAATGATGGTGAGTGAACTTACAATGACTCTGTCTGCCAAAATTAGAAGACATATAATCGTAGAGATATGTGAATAATGCCCTAGAAATAAGAGGGTACTACAGAGTAAAACTCTAAGTTGTTTAGCAGATTTCAAAGTTAGTTTGACGACTAATTCAACGGATAGTGAAACTGAGTCGGAGAAATAATCTACTGTTGTTTCAGTTGAAGGTCAGTGAATGTACCTCGTTGGGTTCAACACAATCGGTCTACTTTTGATGCATTTTACTATTTCCACTGAATTTGTAGAAGCAAATTTTGTAATCTCCGGGTAATGCTATAGAAGGTACCAACATCATCAGCCTATTTATACAGTAAAGCTGAAACTTACTTAAGGCTTTCTCATCCATAAAACGGAGAAATGGTTGACTGAATGACACCCTGAAGAAACACTTAACCTTGTTCTATCTGCTGATTTGAACATTACCTTAAAAATAAGCAATTTGTTTGTCGAGTCCATTCTTGCAAAAGAGTTCTGCTTCCACACCCCGTTATACAGATAATAAAATTGCTAGAAAAGTAAAAAAATTGATAAATTTAAAGAGAATTTAGAAGTAACGGGTGTTTACTAAAACAGAACTGTTTTCACTCCACTGTGGATAACATTCTAGGATAGACTTTTCGTCCCAACTGCTTACAGAACACATTGTCTTGGGATCGGTGCAACAGACTCTCAATGCAAGTGTGATAATTGGGTAGGAAGCTTTATGATCAAGCCCGTCGATGTGCTCAGTCGACTGAAATATTGTTGTCAGTGACCATTAACAAATCGTATTTGAGTTAACATTACCGACGGGCTGTAATACTGTACTTCTGTCCGAAAAAGCGTACACACTTAAA